CTCTTGGATGAGTAGCAACAAATCTATCAGCCTCATCTCATTCCTTGCTTGAAATCCTTCTTTTCTCTTCCAAAAACGCACCAAGATACTCAATATAGGCTCACACACTCTCTCTATTAGCTCAAAGGGAAATCAGGGTTTCTCTCAGTGAAGGCAAGCAGTTGATGAGCCGCAAATGAGGCTATAAGTGCCCTTAAATAGGCCCCAAACCCAGGGATTTAGGGTTTCTCTTCACAGCGTCTACTCAACGAGTTGGCTCTCGGACTCGTCGAGTATATCATTAATCCACGTGGCACATTGAGACCCTACTCGCCGAGTTGTAGCACCTACTCATCGAGTTGCTCAGTAGTCAACCAAAATAAATAAATAAACAATATACCTGGAAGTACGGGTGTTACATAGTGACATACCATTGAAGTGAGATTTAGACCATGTCTTTGTAGGAATCTTCCACAACCAAAAATGAACTATGTTATTAATTTTCTGCAAATCATCCATTGCATATTTAAAGTTATTTAATGTTGTTTCTCTACCACATTCCTAAACCTTGTCACTCAAATCTTTTCTTTTCCATTGTTTCTTCATATTCTCCTGAATACGCCTCAAACAAAACCTATGTTTTGCATTTGGGAATACCTTTGCAACTCCTGGTATTATCCCCTTAACAAATACAAATATAGTCAGTTTAATTTATAAATATAGAAAGTAAGCTACATTAACATGAGAAATAATGAGGTGAAACATACATACATTTGTCTATCAAAAGAAGGTAAATTTTGAATTTGCTCCCAATTCCAAGTCTTCTCCTAACAATTTCATGAACTAGGTCCAATAACTTGTTATTTATGCCTCTACCACTACATATGCTAGATGGTATATTCCATTATTTGATTTTAGACCCACAGCAGTTAATACCTGCCCAGGATATGGGACTTTCAAGAATGTACCATTTACTCCCAAGAAATCCCTTAACCCAACTTTGAATCCCAACTTCAATGCACCTAGCATACATATATCCTTCTAAAAGTTCGTGTAGTATTCGACAACCATAGTTCAGGATACACCTCTATCCTAACAGTTGTACCAGGATTAGTGTTTTACAGTTCCCAAGCATAATCCCTCAAATACCCATATTGTAGTTGGTAGTCCCCGTTGATCATATGTTCATCCATTTGCTTTGCCCTAGCAACCTTTTGAATTGACATACCAAGCTCCAACTTCTTACATAACTCGTCTTGTAAAGCTTTGATTGGAATTCTAGGGTTACTCTGAATTTGTGGAACAATTAAATTTGCTAAAAATTTGGAAGTACAAGCTTTAAATGATCTCGTCTGCAAACATTTATGGACATCGTGTACTATTTTCACCAACCAATCTGTATTCTCATTTGGCCTTGAGATTTGGACTGCCAAAGGACATTTTCCTTTTTTACTAATCACATTTTTTTCCCTTGCACTTTACCTTACTTCTATCTGATGGGACACCATCTTCAACTGTTTACGTAGATTAGCCCACAACACCTCCACATTTCACTATTATCCTGATTTTATCATTTTTTGCTAAGTATAGGGACCTCATTGTTTTTACAACATGTGAATGCATGTAATCCACAACTTCCTTCTTTTTTTTTGAAACATTGTCCCACTCTATACGGTTTTAAATGGATCTCCCCATGTGAGCATGAAGTTGAACTACTCATCTCCTTAAGCATTATTTTCCTTTCATCTTCATAAAATCCTGCAAACTGATAATCATCACTTTGAATAACTACCAACTCTTCATGAACCATGTCATTCCCTACAGTTTTGATTTGCTTGTTTAAAATTACATATTCATCTACATCCACATCACTTTGGAATTCACTCATATCTACATCTACATCAAATTGCAAGTTAGACTCATGTACAATGTAGTCACTATCATCAGAATCATCTCCACAATAATCATGACCATCTCCATTTTGACTATAGAAAGCATCTCCACTATCATCACTTAACACGACCTCTAGAATTTCCATTTATACTTGATTGTCTTCACCCGTAAGGTCCTAAAACGGATCTTTACCAATGATCAAGCAATCACAGAAATAAGAATATGAGTAGAATAAGAATCGGAACAAGCTTGCACACGTTTGTTTCATGAAAACGTCGGGTACAACTCGTTACACTTAACTGTGAACTGTCTAGCATCAACAACCAGTAAAGACCTAAGACACCTCTATATATAGGGAACTTTGGGCCGGAATATGGGTTTACGGCCGTAAACACACTACAGGGCCGCAAACAACAAAAACTACTAAAAACCATTATATTTGAACAAAAGAACTATTACAATAGAAAGCCTAGACCAAACCACTATCTTGACCCTTCAATCTCCCTTTGGTTTGGGGCTAGCTTGGACTTAGTCTTTATCAACCACCAATACATTCGACTTCCCCATAGCTCCGTTCCACATTCGTTTATTGATAATGTCAACCACCATAGATGTATACTCTTTTGCAGCTTGCTCAAAAATTTCATCGGTGACTTTAATCTGATGAAGAATCAGATGATGGATGATACGTGCATATTTAGTGTGTATTAAGTATAGTTTTTTATTCATATATTAGCTAAATTGTTGCATATTATGGACAAAAGGTACTTAAAAGTGTTAAATTATGTTTTTCAGTCCAAAGATGAAGCTCGGAAGCGAAAGGAAGCAAGAGAAGCGGTTAGGAGCTCGAGAGTGGAATGAAGAAGGAAAACACCCAAAAAAAGGCTTCTACTCGTCGAGTCGAGCCTTGACTCGACGAGTCCGGTCGCGGATTCAGAAGGATAATGATTCGGAAGTCAAGATAGTTATCGCAATACGAAGAATGTGAGAGGGACTCGACGAGTCACCACCTGACTCGACGAGTCGGAACGCATATTTAAAGATAACTCCACAAATCGAGAAAGAGAATTCTGGGAAGTTTCAGAAGTGCCTTGCTGCGAATAAGAAGCCAGAAGAACCCTAGAAGTCGACCAAGGAAGCTAGAATTCGATTCCGGAGTAATTAAGGCGTAATTTCATCATTCTACTTATTCTTTTGTTTTGTCAAACATGATTAAGCAACTTGAACTTATTTGTTTGCTGTTATTTACCTTAGTTATGAACTAAATTCTTTAGACTTCTGTTTGGGGATACAAAGTTGACAATATGATTTGATTGATTGGTAGGATTAATTCCAAGTTGGTGAATTATTGTTATTTTAGCTTGCTAAAGAACCTTGTGTATGAATGATAATTAATTTTCTGTTAATAGGAAGATAATTGATTAGCATGAACATCTATTGATTATCAACCTCATATGATATGTGACCACTATACCATATGTCTAGAATTAATGAATATGAAACTAGGATTAATAAGGAAATTGAGTAAATTCATGTGCAAGCTTGTAAGATGACCATCAAACAAGAGGTTAATTAAGAATAATAAATTAATTAGCTATTGCAAGTCTAACTTAACCCGAATAATTAATCTAGTAAATATAATTAAATTAAGCAATTGGCCACTGTTTGAGTTAGTTTATTTGCTAAGGATTAGGGTAGTGAACATGAACCTAATTTACTTGAATCGGTAACCAACGAAAGAATTAATCCATTGCACTATTACCTTGAAATCAACCATAAAGTTAACGAGTTGAACTAAACAGAAGTTCCTTCCCATTATTGAATCTAGTTAAATTGTCATTTTCTAGTCTTTAATTAGTTATAGTTAGTAAGTTTCTAGTCTTGTAAAACTAGAGAAAAACCCCTATTTTCTTAATCAACTTAGATAGAATTAGTTTTTAATTTAATTTGTTGTTCCCTGTGTTCGATACCCTGCTTATTTAGCTATACCACAATTGATAGGTTCACTGCCTTTTGTGTGTTATTTGATAATTAAAGTAGGATTAAAACTAAGTGAGTTTTACACACATCAAGTTTTTGGCACCGTTGCCGGGGAACGGTTCTAAAATTAGCATTAAAATTCTAATTCAATCGATCCTTTGTGTAAGATTCATCTTACACAAAGTTAATTTCTGTTTAATTTTTGTTTAAGTTTTTAGATTTAAAAAAAATAATAAAATAATAAAATAATAAAAAAATAAACTGATTTTCACTTGAACTCGCCGAGTGCATTCGCCCCGACTCGGTGAGTACAACGCTGAATCAGATTTAATTTTTTGTTCCTTTTTACGCTTTTTGTTTTGTTTTTTTTGTTTGGTTTGCAGTTAGTTCATGACCCGAGGATCTGCTACGCCTCTAGTTCCCCCTCTTGAAGACCCGGAAACCGCATTAAGAAGAAACAAGGGCAAAACCGTTGGAGAAACCGCTTCTTCAAAGAACTCACCACTCAAAAACCTCAAATCCGTTTTTAGCAAGAAAAGGAGCAGCAAATCAGGAGCATCCAGTGCATCATTCACAATCGAAGACCCGATCCCAAAAGACACCGACTACAAGACCGAGGAAGAAAGCGAGCACACATCCGAGTTTGAAGACGATTTAGCCACCGCTATAACTAATATTGACGAAATTCCCATGGGGGAGTGGAAGAAGAGGATGCGTGATGACACTGGCCCGGGACTTGTGCAACCCGCAATTCCTGCTACCGCTACGTTTGAACTAAGTGCCATATTCTCGCTCAACTCAAGGAGATATTTTTTCACGGGAGAGATCATGAAGACGCCTACAAGCACTTGGATGAAGTAAATGATGTGGCGGATTACTTCAATGTACCCAATGTGCCCCGCGAGATCCAGCTACTACGCATGCTTCCTGTCACATTTAAAGGAGCTGCAAAGGATTGGTTGAAGTACTACCCCCCGGATCGGTTACCACATGGGCCAAAATGAAAGAAGAGTTCATAGATCATTTCTGCCCACCTTCCAAGATAGCCAAGCTAAAGAAAGCCATCGCCAACTTCGAGCAACAACCCGGAGAATCTCTTTATGAAGCTTGGGAAAGATATAAGAGCCTACTAAGAAATTGCCCCCACCATGATCTTAATAGCCAACAAGAGGTCTCTATATTTTATGATGGAGTAAATGTCACCACAAGGCAACTACTCGATTCACAAGGCCCGCTCACCCGAAAGCCACCTCCGGAAATAAAGGAATTAATTGAAGAATTCACCAGGCACTCTAGAGAATACCACAACCCAAGGAATGAAGTGAGTCGTGGAGCAGTAAACTCGGTGAACGATGGCATGGCGGCGGTGATAGCTAAACTCGATAGCCTAGACCGAAGAATGACGAAAATGGATCAAACGATCCATGCTATTAGAGTTGGATGCGAAAATTGTGGCGGCCCCCATCTTACCAAGGATGTGATCGCGACGAGAATGGAAATAAAAAGGCTCAAGTATTCTATTCCAGTGGCGATAGATACGATGAAGACTGGAGGAAACCCAAGAAGGAATGGCTCCCATACGAAGAGTATAAAAAGGCTAAGGAGGAGAAATACAA